TCTCTGTGTCTTTTCTATAAATATTTTATGGTAATTGTTCGAATGAGCTCTTCGCTATAGTACCTAGAATTTAAGCAGAGTACTATACTGGCGTTGAGATCTCATCATTCACAGTTGTATTGACAAGATATAGCCATAAGTTCTACGCTAACAATGTTTTTTTCTTGGACTGTTCGCTTGTGAAACTCCATTTGTTCCAGCCATCTTTTTCTGTAGAAATTTATATGCAATATCAGTCGCTATCTACTGTCCTGTTTGCTCTTTTCTCTTTCAACTCATTATTAATGTTTCTGTTCCTAATTCTTCCACACCCTGTAACCCCTTGTCTTTTAGTGGCTCTATTGCTCCCCTGAGGTGATAGTGACGAAAAAAATAATATATGTACAGAATTAATAAAAAAAAAAAAAAAGAATACACGCTCCTGGTAATGAATAATTTGTCTTTTGTAGTTTTATCAAATTACGTAACACAACCATACATGAACTTTACGAAAATGATGAATTTTCTTTCAACAAGTCGGCAAACCGCCACACTACTACGAAGACGTAGAAGCTTATCTTTATGAGAATGTCCCAGGACATTGGTTAGGGCGATGAAGTGCAGTCAAGTTTCATCAACGTTCTCCTGATTTAACAGACTTTTATCTATGGGCTCCTAATATATATATATATATATCTGCGTACGCTCTATACCTGATATTGAGCACAATCCCATAAATATAGCACACCTTAATACTATATTTCTTCACATATATATATATATATATATATATATATATATATATATATATATATATATATATATATATATATATATATATATATACATACACACACACACACATATATATATATATATATATATATATATATATATATATATATATATATATGCATTTCATTGAAACAACAGACAAGCTGTTTTATTTATTTTTTTTTATACAATTTCTCATGCGATCGAATAACTTTTTTCTTATCGCATGATAAATTATATAAAAATTGTCCGAATGTTCTTTTTATCCGAGCTCTTTCGGCTATACATTTAGCCATTTTCAAGGATTAAATATTTTAACTATTAAAATAAGAAATAGTTTGTTGTATGTGTGTTATATATCTTGACCGTGCTTTGAAAAATGAAAACATTTTATAAAACATACATACAACAAACTATTTCTTATTTTAACAGATAAATATAATCCTTGAAAATGGCTTAATATACAGTGTAACCCGGATATAAGAGACCCAGATATAAGAGAAACCCGGATATAAGAGAGTTTTTCTCTGGTCCCAAATTAGAGCCTGTGTTAATGTATATAAAATAGACCAAACACGGATATAAGAGAAACTCGGATATAAGATACTTCTTCTCCGGTCCCGACAACTCTCTTACATCCGGGTTACACTGTATATCCGAAAGCGCTCGGATAAAAAGAACATTCGGTAAGTTTTTATCTAATTTATCACCCGAAAAGAAAAAAATATTAGATCGCATGGGAAATTGTATAAAAAACTAAATAAAAGCACCTTGTCTGTCGTTTTCAATGAAATGTGCATTAAAGAAGGATTGCTGCCAAATACACAAATATATATATATATATATATATATATATATAGTTTTAATCTATGTTTCATTTACGGATAAAAGTAATATCAATATCTGAGATGTGTGAATATAAATGTGGACACTGAGATCAACGCCGTGTGGCGATAGTTTTTTTTAATGTTTGAACGTAATTTTTAAACTTTATGAATGTGTTTATATATGCGTATTTGTTTGTATGTGTGTGTTTGCGATCGATCGGAACGCCCTATGATTATTATTAGAAAGCAATTAATAGAAAAACAGGCATAATAAAAACATCTTTGAAAGTTGCTACAAATATAATGGGCATAAATAAATAATTTTACAATGCAATGCCTTGCGTTCGGGTTTGAAACACGGAAATTAACCAAGTTTAAAAAAAAAAACAGTATCAAATAATGGTCTATTATAAAAAAAAATATTATGGATGACAGGAAAGGGTTAAAAAAAGGATCACATAAAGTGAAGGAAGGATAACAGGTGGAGCAAAAGGTTACTTAAATTTCCTCAATGATTAAAATGGACAGTAGAAATTTCGACAGTTGGGCATATGAGATAGATGGGCCTGCTGGTTAGGACAGTCACAGTCGTCATGGATATTATTATAATTAGCATTTGCTCCATCGCACATTTGGATTTCATCGTTTGAAGCGGGTAAATAATTAATTATACTGCGTTTAAATAAAGACGTAACATATTAACTTGTGTATAATACAAGAAATATAGACGAAAACAAAAAAGTGGGGGTGGTATTTTAAACAAATAAACATTTTCAGAAATGTTACCTTTTTTTTGAAACAGCAAGATTGTAAATACGCTATTCACAATCTATATTATACTAAACGTCTATGAATGGTGTGTATGTTGGTCATTGGGAGCATAATGATTTAAGTTTCTTTCCACTTATCTCTTTCCACCTCCCTCTATTTCCACCCCTCTCTCTCCACTTCTCTCTCTCTCTTTACATCTCTCTCTCTCCACCTCAGTTTCTCTCTTTTTCCACTTCTCTCTCTTCCCACCTCCCTCTTTTTCCAACTCTCTCTTTTTCCACTTTTGTCTCTTTCCACCTCTCCCCCTTCCACCTCTCTCTTTCCACCTTTCTCTTTCTTTCTACCTCTTTCACTTTCCACCTCTCTATTTCCCCCTTTATTTCCACCCCTCTCTCTCTCTCTTTCCACCTCTCTCTTTTTCCACTTCTGTCTCTTTCCACCTCTCTCCCTTCCATCTCTCTCTTTCCACCTCTCTCTTTCTTTCCACCTCTTTCACTTTCCACCTCTCTATTTCCCCCCTTATTTCCACTTTTCTCTCTTTTCATCTCTCTCTTTCTACCTCTCTCACTTTCCACCTCTCTCTTCCCACCTCTCTCTATTGCCACCTCTCTCTCTCTCTCTCTCTCTGTGTGTTTCCACCTCTCTGTGATTGCGTACGTGCGCATTTTTATTTCAGATTTCTTTGAACAAACAATATTTTAAATATTTAAAAAAAAAAATTATTTGCCATATTTAAAAAATATTTTCAAGGGGATATAATTTAAAAATATTTTTGGGGCATACTAAATAATATTTTTAAGTTAATATGACTTAAAAATATTTCAGGTGAATCTCTATCTATAAAAGGCAGGATGTGTGTGTGTGTGTGTGTGTGTGTGTGTGTAACGAATGCACGGTCACAATTTTCGACGGATTTGCATCAAAATTTAGATGCACATGCTCTAAGTTAGTGGGAAAGCCAAGACCGACTTTGCATTTCCCAACTCTCATCGATAGTGGAAATAATCGATTTTTTCATGCTTCTACGGCAGTTTTCATGTAGTTTGCAGCCATTTTCTACTGGCCAGTGTGAGAGCCTATAGCTGGCTGCCACGAATAGGCGGGAAGATTCTATTGGCCAGCGTGAGAGCCAACAGCTGACTGACACGAATGTTTACTAGCATGCTAGCATGCAAAAAATATCGATAGCTGCATTCGTCACAAGTGGGAAAAATTTAAATCTGCATGGCACTTTACTCCAATTGACTCATTCGCTTGCTTAAACTCAACGTTGATTCTGATTCCGCAGAACTGGGTTGGGTGTAAAAAGTATTTATTGTTAACATTCTTTTTTTATTTGTTTTTCTAGTTACGAGTTCATTTTAAAGCTGATCGTTTTGTGTTCATTTTGTTTAGTTCTTTTTTCGTAAAAGATTTAATGTTTAGTATAGAGCTTAGAAAAATTCGCAGTGTGAGATAAGCAAGAAGTAAGGCATGTAGCAATATCAGCACGGCAAAGAGCACTCCTTTAAAGGCAAAGAAGGGCAAAAATATTTCAAGTCAAGGGATAGCTGTATGAGTTGTACGATTTTTGAATCAAGCCCGGGCAACGCCGAGCCATGCTGCTAGTAAGATATAAAATATATTAAGTATTTTTATTTCACTTTTCTTCAGAAAATTTTTTTCAATGTTGAAATCAACTTCATTGTTTTATAACCTGAACCGTCAGTGACCCAAAGGCTCATGGGTATTCATGTAGATCATAAAACACATTATAAACAGATGTTGATAACAATTCTTTCCAAAAGCTATTTGATATATCGGCAATATTTGTTTCTCTCTTCATTGTCAATGAAAGACAAGTTTTTAGTTTCATAGTTTATTAATATTTAGAACTATAATAAAATTATATCAAACCTAAATGTATGATAGATTAACACCTTAAAATATATTACCAGTTATATCTCGTTAGTGCCTTTCCAGTAAAAATTGAAAATAAGTTTTGAAACAAAAAATTAGCAGAAATGCAAAATGGCGAAACATCCGGTTCATTTTTATTCTTTAATATCATGAAAAATTAAATATTTTATGTCTGACGATTTTAATGCATTCAGTGGTCAAACTTTACAATAATATTTACATAGGGATGTAAAGCATTCCTTATTTTTAGCTTCGGAAACACGAGGGGGTCTTATACTTAAGTAAATACGATAGTTCCTAGGCAAGTGATTATATCTAGCTTTTTTCCCGACTGCTGATCTATCATCTGATCTAACTTTCACAGCTTGTATTGGGAGGAAATGGTTTGTAATATTCAATACTTCCAAAGCTGTTGTATTGCGTGCTTTCAAGAAAACAGAGTAAAAAAAATGAAGACAAACTCGTAGATAAGTAATGAAATAGAAGGTTTACAACACGAAGGTACAATTAACCATTGATCTAATGCTAACTCGGTATTTACCAGAGCTCCCCACAGAGCGGGATGTAGCATAAAACCGGTTTAACGTGAATTTTTCCGAGCACGTTGGCCCGGTCAATAATTCCCCGCAGATCCCGTAATAACGGGGTCGGGTTTGTCTTCTCCCCAGGCCAGACTCGCCTCGTCTGGATTCATTTCTGCCTGAAAGCAGAGTTCGACAAGCACTAAGAGCTAAAAACGGGTCGGGTAAGTGTACGTCCTCAAACGAGACACCACCCATAGCTTTGTCTGGGTTCCTCTCTGTCTGAAGGCAGAGAGTTCGACAAGCACTAAGAGCTTAGCGCGCGGCTAAGATCTAATGCTGACTCGGTATTTACCTCGCTTCCCCAAAAGGTAGAATGCGGCGTAAGGCCGGTTTTTACGTGGGGTATTCCGAGTCTAAGAGCTTAGGCCGCGACTAGGACCTAATGCTGACTCTCCTCAACTCCGTTTATTTACATAAACCGACGATTCTATTCATTTGTCAGGGTTAGAAAAAGAAAACTAGTAATGTTTCATGATCAGCGAGAAGACCGTATGTTTTAGTCAGTCATGAAGAACCGTTGGCCTTCCAATGATGTTCTGGAACTTAACCCCAATCCAGGCCTCAAGCGGAACTCGTAGTTTCATACCATCGCTAAAGATTCTTCCTTTTTACCGCTCTGGAAAATGCCTAACCCACTCGGCTCAGTTTTTAGAAGAGTCAGATTTAAAATGGAGTACCGCTGCCATATATTTTGGAGCGGACCTGACAAATCCTCTCTTTCCAACCTTGATAGAGTTTAAAAAAAGCGTTTACGCGGCCTCTTGGATAATGGGTTATTTTCCACCCTACAACCACTTTCCCCGCAGACGAAACGTTGCTAAACTCTTGTTACTCTATCGGATGACTCATGTTCATTGAATCTACAAGCCCATACCTTCACAGCTAGGAACGCCCATGCTATGTACACAAAGCCGGCTCATTCTTATTCTCTTCATATTCCATTAGTAAGGAGGAATTCCATCTGGTGCAGCTTCTTCCACAGATATGTGACTTTGTAGAAAAAAGACTCCTGAGATTATGTTTCCCAGATTTCTACGAACTTAAAGGAGGGTCAACTCTCAAACATCGTGCATATCCTTTCATAATATGCAACCTTATTCAGTAATGATCCACTTTGAGGAGTTCTTGGGCCTTTTATATGGTGAAAAATAGTATAAAATATAATATGCATAAAATTTTTTTAAAAAACAACTCTTTCAATGTGCATTTGTAGTACTTTTCTAGAATTAGCCAATTAAACAGTCATTATCTAAATTGACAAATGAAAAAAAGAAAATGAAATTTTAAGAAAATAAATGAAAGAAAAGCGTAAAGATATCTTCGCAAAATTCTGTGGCTACAATATCTGGAAAGTTTCCATATTTTTGTTACTTGGTATGGGGAATAAATCTAGGCCAAAAGAAAATCGATAAAAGCATTCAACTTTTCTTCGTTGTTGTATCGAATGGTCAGCTATATCATTAGTTTTGTGGTGCTACCACGTATAAGATAAATAACTATCGTTGACGGTTGCCTCGTTTTGAAAATTGTCATTATTTTTAGCATATTATTTCTCAATTCTCATCTGCTTAACGTGAACTTAAATACGATACCCTATGCGCGATGAGTTAATAGAAAAGCCTTGTTTTGCAAATACATCCTGTCAGACCAATCTTTTCCAATCAACAGTTACTACGCAGAGCCAAGATTAACACAAAATAACTTTGCGAAAATTTTAAAGAATCTAAAAGTACAATTTACTGTTCGAGGCGAAAAACACAACCCAAAGAGTAATAGACAGGATTGAAAAGAGGAAAATGGCAGTGGTTATACAGCTATTATTTCTGTCAAAAGATAGTAATTTAAATGCCACACTTCCTCAGAGTCGGAATTAGCTAAATGTATGCGCCACTGTTTTTGGTATGTATCGTTTACCCACGACGGATAAAATATTTCTTTACAGTTGTGAACAGAATTATTCACCCCGGTTTCCATAATTACAAATAAAGGTATAATAACTTCAAATTTTCATGGAAACCTCATCTTCGCTTTTTTTTAAGCGTTTCACCTCAAGCAAGGCGGGAAGCCACTAGGACGCAAGTTGTTACAGAAAATTTGGAGCAAGATCAGATAGGAGTGATAGAAGAAAGGATGAGGAGAAGGGTAGTGGATAGATCAAGGCAACTGGAGATGTCGATTGACATTACATTTGTATAACTGGAGATTATAGCTCTCAGGGAAACTGGAATAGGGAAGGGAGTTCCACAGGCGAGAGGTGCGAGTCATGAAGCTATTGGAGTAAAAGAGACGGCTACATTTCGGTGTTTCGACAGTGAAGGGGTGAGAGCGGGATGCCAGCCTCGCAGGACGCTTGAACTCATGAAGTCTGGGAACCAGCAAATGCAGCTCCTCGGAGCAATTGCCATGAAAGTATTTGTAAAACAGACAGAGAGAGGCGACGGCGCGTCTGTGAGAAAGGGCAACGGCGAATTGTTGATTTGTAGATCTGAAGGATCGATTCCGAGGAGAAACAATTTCCTGGCGCGGCACAGGGAGCCAACTTTCTTTGCGGTGGACGAAGCAATTGACTCAATGTATTTGTTCCATCTCAGGTCAGCAGTCAATGTGACACTGAGCAGCCGCAGAGAGGTGCTCTCGAGAAGTTGAGCGTCAGACATCCTAATGGAGGGCAGGGATGGATCTCTGTGGTGATTAATAGAGAGCAGTTTTGTTTTTGAAGCATTAAAGTTGACCAGCCAATTCCTGCCCCAGTTCACAACCGATTGGATGTCCTTTTCGAGACGCACGGCCAGGTTATTTTTGTCAGTGACACTAGAGATGTTTTTGAGGCAGGAATAAATTGTGGTGTCATCCGCGTAGATGCCAACTTGGGAATATGAATTTGAAAGAATGCGCAGTGATGCCGACAAAAAAACTTTTATTTTAATGTCATACTATATTACAAAAACACCCGAAACATTTAACATAAGGCCAACGTTTGGACCTCTTGTTTCAATAATCAATTGTGTAACCTTTATTCTTGATTATTGCCTTTAATCATTTTTCATAGTTCTTTACAGGATGGCTACACACACACTGATAGGTATTTTGATCCGTTCTTCCTTATCAATAGCTTCTAGTTCCTCCAAATTCGATGGACTTTTTTCTCTGATTTTTTTCTGCAAAT